TATATTTTTATTTTTTAAATAACAATTTTAAAATAAATAAAAATATTTTTATTTTTAAAATAAAAAATGTTTAAGTAACAATTTTTAAAATAACAAATAAGACCTAGTTTTATTTATTTCTTCCATGTGCTGGAGAGACAGAGACAGAGACACAGAGACAGACAGATGCACTCCCCAACAGAGGGTCTCAACACCACAACACACTCCCAGCCTGAGCCAGCTCCAGACTGTGAGCACACACATGCCCAGCACACTCAGGGAGGTCTCCAGACATGAACCTGGGACCTTCCCACGTGGGCCAGCCTTGCAGAGCATCAGGTCTTACGGCTGCACCACTGCCTGGCTCCTACCTCATCTCAACAACCGTCTTTGTTATTAGCTCCATCTTACAGCCGGGGAAGCCAAGGCTTAGGGAGACAGCAATCGCTCGATGCCCCCCCAGTCGGGGAGGTGGCAGCGCTGGGCCTCAGACACGTGCAGCCCGGCTGGAGCTAGAAGCTGCCATCACTGTGCTGTCCCCTGCGGGTAACATGAGGGCTCCTAGAACCGCAGTGTGGCTGTGCTATTTAGTCTTCCTACCCTTCTTGGGCGGGTGGTGGCATTAATTTTTGCTATTTCCCAATGAGGACCAAGACACAGAGATGACAAATTGTCTTTGCAGAATCCCAGTGGGAAAGGGGCCAAGCCTGGGGTCGAAATGAAAACTGCCAAATCCAAAACCCCCACCTGCCTGCTGAAGTCTCATGGCACCGTGCACCCATCAGTCCCAAACTGGTCCCACCGGCCACTGTCCCCACTCTGTGTGGTTATTGGAGCATCTCGTCCCCCAGAGGGAGCTCTCTGAGGGCAGGGTCCTTGGTGAGTTTTGCTTATCACCCAGTGCCCACCACAAGGCAGGTGTCCAGTTCATTCGTGTGGACCCAGCGAGCGGATTCCTCCAGAGCCACTGAGCTGGCCCCCGGGCACCAGGAACACTCCCGGCTCTCGCAGCCCTGCTGAGGGTATTGCCAGGGTTCAGGACATTGGGCTCAGGCTGTCTTTACCTCAGGGGCCATAGGAGGGCGCCAGCGCGCAGCCCACCAGCAGGGGGTGCCTGTGCTACGGCCATCGCACAGACTGGAGTCACAGGTATACTGGCCCTTCCCATATCCTTCTCCCCTCTGGAAAGGCCACTTTGGGACCTGCTCCCCGAGGACAAGCACTCCGAGGACAGAGCCCTCTCAGTACTGAGGCGCAAAGCGTGAAGGGTCTAAGCCGACTGGTGATCGCATTCCCTCTAGCAGATACTGGTTTAGTGAGAAGCATGTGACCCAGTCGTAGCCAGCAGGACTGAGCCGAGGTCCGATGAGGAAGCTTCAGACCTTTAAAGACGAATACAAGCAGACACCTTCATTGAACACCGTGTGTCTGTGGGCGGTGGCAGGCGCTGCTGCACCCATCTTGTGACCGTGAGGTAAGGCATTGCCAGCATGTGAAGGAGGCCGGCACCTCTCCGCAGACATCACTGAGCTGCTGAATTTCCAGACCCCAGGACTTCTCTCCCTTGTTATTCTGTGGGAAATAACCCATGTTTAGTTAGGGCTTCTGCTCCTCACTCTCAAAACCTCCTGATGGGCACCCAGGGAGCCTGTGGCTCTGGGGGCCTTTTGTCTAATGGTTTGGCTGCATGGAGTTTTGGTTCCTCATCCCAGTGTGGAAAGGGTCCAGAGGCTGGAAACGGCGTTTGAAAGTTTCTCCCTCAAATGCGTGCCCTCATTCTCCCATTCAAAACTGCGAATATGCAAAAGTAGGTTTTTACTCTCAGTTCACCGAGAAGGAACTGCAGTGCCAGGAACTGCAGTGCCGTTAGGCTGGCTTCTCCAGGGCCGCGGGCCAGGCTCCTTATTGCCCACAGGATAAAATCCAAACTCCAGGACGTGGCGTTTATGCCCTTCAGGACCCTCGGTCCTTCCTACCCTCCTCGGCTTCACATTTCACTCTTCTGGCCTCCCAACCTCACTCCAGGCTCCGGCCAGGACGGACACCTTCATCTAGAGCCCCCGAGCTATTGGAGGCCCCAGGGCGCGGCAGGGTGCCGGGGTCCAGAGCGCGGCCTCTGGGCCAGGGTTCGAGTGTCACCCCATCACTTCCTCGCTACAGAGCTATCAAGCACCTTCTCCCCTCTGCACCAGGGCCTGTTCAATAGCCCCACCACGCACGGCTGCTGTGGGATTAAATGAACCCCTCAGGCCAAGGCCTGGCACGTGGCAAGTACTCCACGAGTCCTGTGCATTTTATTATTATCTCCGCACTAGAAGCCCTTGGCACCCTTCAGGCCCTTGGCAAGTGTTTGTTGAAAGAATGAATGGAGCAGTGGGACTCAGGTGACCCAGAACACAGCCCCCAGGGCACGGATGGTGGCCCGAAGGGAGCCGCCAAAGCCCTGGAATCAGACAGTGAGCTCAAAGCCTAGCTGGTGACCTCAGACAAATCACTTCCCCTCCCGTACCTCCATCTGCAAAATGAGGAAATCAACACCTACCCGAGGATTGTTCTGTCTGGAAAGCTCCCTGGCACCGGGCCCAGCACACCCGATTCCTCACCACTCCTCCACCCCCGCCTCCTCCATGGCATCACTTCTGCCAAGGCCTCATCAGAAGAAAGACTGGGGGAACTGGCTTCTGTCCACGGAAAATCACGAAAGATAAAGTTGTCTCTGTGATTTAAGGACCCCCCCCCACCTCTTACTGTCCAGATCCCCCAACCATCCAGGGACCTTTGAACTCACTCAACTTTGGCAGGAAATGGACCCCCCACAGCAGAGAGAGAGAGAACGGGTCCTCCCAGCCTGCTTCTCGCGGAGCAAGAGGAAGCCAGAGGGACCAGAGGAACGGGGAGGTTCTGGGCGAGCACTGTGGCCCGGATGCTGGGCCCGTCGCCACTGGCTCCCTGTGCGACCTTGGCCAAGGCTGCGTCTTCCAGGACTCTGTGGGCCATCCGTCCCATGTGGCCGGGCTCCGTGACCTCTGAGGTCCCTTCCGGAGCAGGCATTCTGGGATGCAGGAAGCAGACTCCTCAGCTGCCAGGGAGATCAAAGGGTGAGTTCCCAGAGGAGGCCTCCCCGCTGCCTGCCCTCCCAGCAGCTCCGGCTTCCTGCTCTGCTAGAGCCTGCTGTGTAGCTCTGGGAACAGCTGGGGCCGACACTGGGCCTGGGCCTCCTCACTCCCCGCCCCAGGCCAGGGTCATAGGTCTGAGATACCCGACTCCATTTTCCTCTGTTGGCTGCCTGTGATGGAGGCAGCATGCTGTGTAGTCTACACCGCACTGTGGAAATGCCTGGCTCTACCCGAGGGCCTGGGGGAGCTTCCCTTTCACCCCTCCAGAGCCTCCCAGAACTCTGTCTGGGTCACAGCCATCCTCTGCGCTTTGTCTGGCCCCTAAGGCTGACCACACCTGCTTTGCCTGAATCCCCACCCTCACCTCCTGGCTGGTTGGGCCCCTCCTGTACTGCTCCATGTTCCCTGCACACAGAGGCTGGCCTGCCTCACCCCACCCCACCGCCCAGCACTCGGGGCCTCTCCTGTCTCCCTTGCACAGCCTCTGGGGGGGACATCATTGCCGTCTTCACTCTAAGAGAGGAAGCAGACTTGGAGAGTCCTAGTGAGGGCCGGCTCCTCTGCACACCCAGGGGCTGATGGAGAAAAGAGGATCCGATGATACTCGTTAAAGCTCGGCCAGGCAGGCTGGATTCGGGACACCATGAGAGGTGAGGGCCCACCCTAGCAGGGCCCGGTCGGGGAGGGACTGGGCTCAGTTCTGAGCACGGCAGGGACGGGGGTTTATAGCCATGGCGCAGAGCGGGGTCAGCGGGCAGAAAACTACTAAGAGGAAGCTCTGAGCGGGGGGGGGGGGGGGGGGAGCGTCGGAGAGCGAGA